ACAGTCTACAAGTGGCTTCTTCCACAGCTCAAACTTATGACCTAAAGGCCACACAAAGACAACTTAACCGTTGCTCCAAGACTCCCTTTCCAAAGAAAAAAAAAGAGTATATGACATTATTGCATTCTTTTGGTAGTAAATTCCCAGCCTGGCTAAGGTTATGACAGGATAGTTTTTTTTTTTTTTTTGAAACTGCTAACCTTACTCTATATATCCACAGGAATACTACAGCCAAACATTGTAGTTCCCCTTCAAAAGTATTACAATCTATCAAAAGCTCAAAACTAAATTTGTCGCCCACAAACAATCTAGAACATCAAAGATGTCTTCTGTTTGAGCTAATAAATTATGTTTACCCCAAAAGAAAAATAGAGCTAGACACTTCATACATCCTGACGACTGTTTTGTACATTTTCAAAGCACCTATTGTTTCTCCCTTTCCAGATTGACCACCAAATGCATGTTGGGACAATCTTCCATCTCTCCTCATTTGTAACATTTCCATCCCTGTTCCAGCTACCAAGTACTCCTCTAATACATCCTGGTTTCACCCACGTGATCCCCTTCAGGCTAGTGAACATTCTCCATAGTTGTTCTGTCCATTTACACTGTCAGAAGAGATGGTTGACTGTCTCAGCTTGCTCCCCACACAGATAACACCTAGAGGCCAACAGATAACCTCTCTTGTTCAGGTTCCAACTTCTTTTGCCAGGAGCCAAGTAAAGCAGTTCACTTCATAAGGCACCTTTGGCTTCCATATCATCTTCCATGGTCAATCTTTCTCATGTCCCCCTGTCTTGTTAAGGGCCTTATAGGCAGATTTTACTGTGAAGTCACCTTTGCTAGCCTCCTGCCATAATAACGCATCAATTTCCTCAGCAAGACTTGTGTGAACTACTAAATGGCTGAGCAGTTCTGTCACATTTTCAATCTCCCAGTCATTTAGTTGTCTTCTTAGGCCTATGTTCCAACCCTGTTCAGTCCACATATTAGCTATAGTTGCATGTTGCCATTGGCATAGTGTAAATAAAACAGGGTGTGCTTGTCTCAAAACTATTGTCCCATTCCACTTGTCTTCCCGGAAGGAGGTCTTCCTACCATTTCCCACTTTCACTCTAGTTCTTGCTTGTATCAATGGCCATAGAATCATGGTGGCCCTCCATACAGTGTAATTATATGGAGTAGTTACTTGTGTAGTTGTGTTGCTTGTCCTCCATCCCATATTTAGCAGTAATCACATCCTTCCATAGCATGCCATCTTCATTTGCAAACTTCCATAACCATTTCAACATCAAGCTTTCGTTTTGTTTCTTCGAGTTCTTGATACTCAGACCCCCTGTTTCCTTGCTCACTATTAATTCCTCCCACTTGACTAAGTGAGACTCTCTTGTCTTTACTACCTTGCCATAGGAATTGCCTGCTCAGAGCATCAATACATTTGAATACACTAGCTGGCATAGGAAAGACTGACGTCACATAGGAGGGAAAAACATTAAGTGCACTATTAACTAGTGTCAGTCTTGCCTCCTAATGACAAGTATTGACATTTCCAATTGGTATGCCTCTTCTCACACTTCTCTAATACTCCATTCCTAGTTAAGTAGTTGGAAGATCACCAACCTTTCCACCTAAAGTATTAGCTAGGCCTTCAATTGCATTCGCTGTATTGATAGGGTAGACAAGACTCTTCCCCCAATTAATATGCAACCCTGACACTGCTTCAAATATCACAAAGATTACCCTCAACATCCTGATTTGGTCATGTACATCCTCACAAAATACTAAGGTGTCATCTGCATATTGGAGGTGTGTGATCTCCATATTGTTTAAGTCACCTACTTGGAAGCCCCTGATTCAGTTCTTCTCTTTTGTTGTGTTTACTAAGTTGCTCATACCTTCCATAGCAATAATAAATAGAAATGGAGATAGAGGATCTCCCTGCCTGAGGCCAGTGTTATTAAAGGCGAAAAGCGCAAAAAAGCTCTAAGGCCTATGGGGGCTTTAAGTGCAAATAAAGTGTGGACTTGAATGAAAAAAGGCGCAAAGGGAGAGAAGAATACAAATATATATGTTTGTCCAAGACTAATAATTATAAACATGAATGACAAATATATGACCAAAGAAATTGAATTTTTTTTTTATGAGAAAGTGAAATATCAATTATTTAGTTTCACTTCTTCATAAGAGGCTCATTGGCAAGGAAACATTTGCCTTAGAACCTTAATGACAACACCAAAGCGCATATAAAGCGAGGCAAAGCGCTCAACGCGTTTTGAGCCTCGCTTCAGGGCTTAAGTGCGCCTTTGATAACACTGCCTGAGGCCTCTTTGAGAGGAAAAAAAAGCCATTGGGAGCTCTATGAATGCAGTCCCAATAAACCCTACTTTCAAATTTTAACTAAATATTTTTTATGGCATAAATTATCCAAAAAATGAATCTAGGCAAATCATAATACACAAGCAGCTAGAAAAATAAATGAATAATTAAAGGGAGCATGAAGGTTTGGGTCCAGTAGAAAGAGTGCAGCACGTGATGTGTACAATAAGCATTTGTCACAAGTTTGAACCCTACTATAGACGAAGTCTGGTACTTATGGAGAAAGGTAGAGGTCCGAGGCCATCATTTGTCGAGTTCCGAACTATGCGCCAAATAACCCACGCAGATCTCTTGGTAATAAAAAGAGAAAAAAACAAAAAAAATTAAACTGAGCATGAACTGGAGACATGATGATGGAACAACCTCAAACCATTTCAACAAAGCATGCATTCTAGAATCTTGATAGAGCCCATGAGACCAATTACCAACTAAGGTGAATACTTTATTCATCTACTAACCATCTCAGTCAAGCTACTTATGTTTAGCAGAAAGAAATAATCAAGGCAACTTGCATGAAATGCTCAAGTAATGTAAACCAATTCAAATACAACCTATCCTCCGTGTTTATACATGTTCTTCAGTCTGAATGACTTTCATATCAGAGCAATATTTAAGTACATTCTAATTAAGTTCAAGGGTAATGCCCCCAAGACCTAGATCAAGTGGCAAAAGGTGGAGGATTTGTGGCTTAGGTCGCAAGTTCAAGCCCCACACCATGCAAAGCAAAGCTTGGTATTTAAGTGGAGAAGGGTAGAGGGGCGGGCCCATTATCCACCGAGTTTAGAAAGTTGTGATTGGTCCAAAGGGCGGGTCACACACAGATTTCTCGATTATCAAAAAAAAAAGTTAAGAAGATGGGAAAAGCTAAAGGATGAGGAGACTGGTGTTAATCCTCATCTCCATGTGGTACTATCGTTCTGCATGTCTTTATTTTCCATGAGTTCTTCCTTCCGAATGATTTATTCAGTTGAGTATCACCATACCTTTTAGAGTAGACTCCATTTGCAGATGCTCCAGACGTTTTACCAAGTTCGTTGTTCTTGCCTGTAATCATATTCAAACTACCCAAGCTTCCTTTAGATCTTTTAATGGGCAATTTCTCCTTTACCTCAGATGATTTACCATCTAATTCAGCATTGCCAGAGGTGTTGATCTACAAAATTCATAATCAGAAGCAGCATGAAAAATTAGAAATTTAAACCATTGGTATCATTGCATAGATTCAGTGAACATATCTAGCTTTGGACTTACTGCAACTTCAGCAACGCCGTTTGGAGATGGCATCGCAAAGGGGCTGAAGGGGTATGATCCCTGATTAATAAGGAAAATATTGCATGTAAGCAAAATAAAATGTGAGCAATGCGTAGCAAACTGAAAACTACTAGGGAAGAAGAAGATACCGGAGGAATGGATGGATGAGCATATATTCCACCATGGGGATACATTGCGACATAAGGATGTGGTGGAGTACCATAGGGTGGCATAAGATGCTGCAAAGGGGGAAAACAAAAAATTGGTAAGAAAAAAAACAGAAACTTGTATGAGTTACATCCTCAAAATAATTGCACATCTTTTTCCAAATAAATTCAAATAAAAAACAGATTTAGTAAATTTTTGCATATGGCTCCAGATGCTTGAATCTAGCAAAATTTACCAGAAACTCTCTATTTTTCAGAACCATGGAGATGCAGGAAACAAGAAACCAGCACAATATTTGAGCAGAAAAATAATCAGACATCCTTGTAAACAACTTCATCTTTGTGAGCTTTGCATAGCCGATCTGAACTCAGATAAAGGAGGAGGATTGTGGTAGATTTATACAACATAAAATAGTCAAAACATAACTGATCCCCTAAATAGAATGGATATAGAGTAACCAGTGAATAATTAGTGCCAGGACATGAGGATGCTTAAGAGCAAAGCTCATCAGCGATTATAAAACAAGCCTCCTGAAATTCTGTAAAGTACAGGCCCAACTTGCTCCTAATTCAAATCCAGAATTGGTGATTGCAAGCAACTTTACATTGCCTATCACAGACTAATACCACATATATCCATCATTATCATAACATTGAACTCTACACAGCATTATGAACCCCAAGCAGATGATCCTAAAATATCCAACAAACATGATGTGCACAGCCAGCAGATCTAACTTTTGAAGGAAACACTAAACATACCATGATTCATAATTCCACCATACCTGAACTCCCCACATGTAAGGGTGTGCTTGAGGACTTGAAGCCATGAACCCATGTGGAGGCATCGGTGAATATCCCTGCATGAGGATAATCCATGGACTATCAACAATAAAATTTCAACAGATGAAGTAAAAGACTGAGTAACAATGCTACAGAGAAACTCAACCTGAAATCCGGGCCAGTCTGGATTTACTGTACCAGTAGCAGTAGATGAAGCCTGCTCCTAAATAATGCAAAATAGAAAAATGATTAGGCTAGCTCACATGTTATATAAATAACTCTGGTTATTAAAAGAAAAACGAAAGAAAATAGTTACCTGTGAATTGGGAGTCTTCGCCTCCTTTGACTCCTTTGCCTCCTTAGAGGATTTGTCAATATCACTGCTCCCCATGGCTAAACTGCACCACTACCTCAAAAACTCCTCAAACCATCCTGTCATGCAAACTAAAAACACATAAATGAAGTTCTTCATGAAAATTAGCTGAAGTTCTCTTTTACAACACGCACACAAATACAAGGAATGAATCTACGTGTCTCTTAAAGTAAAGCACAAACTAGACCAAAATTTCATCTTTTTCAACACACACAAATTCAAGGCATGAATTTACATATGACTGAAAGTAAAACACAAATTTGACCAAAATTTTATATTTTTTCAACATACCAAATCCAAGTCATGAGTTTACATATGTCTCAAAGTAAAACACAAATTAGACCAAAATTTTATCTTTTATCAATACACACAAATCCAAGGCATGAATTTACATGTGTCTCAAAGTAAAGCACAAATTAGACCAAAATTTTCCTCTTTTTCAACACACAAATCCAAGTCATGAATTTACATATTTCTCAAAGTAAAGCACAAACTAGACCAAATCCAAGTCATGAATTTACATATTTCTGAAAATAAAACACCAAAATACAACAAAATTACCACAAACTAACACATAAGCAAAGACGGACACGACCTCTACCAAATTTGCAAAACTACACCAAACAATAAATATAAATCAGCATTACTCGTTCATCCCAAGTGTCCGTTCACACAGATTTGCTCTCTACCTAGCTGTAATCTCCAAAATCCGAACTGAAAAATTGAAAACTGTCTACAAAAAAACATAAAAGCTCAAAGTCTACGTCCAGTTTATGCAAACAAGAAAAACGACTAAACCCACAAAAAAGACCTCTAAAAACAAATAGGTGTAGCTCGGTTGCTGAGCTGCCCACACCCTCACCCTAGTGGTGGGGGGTCGAACATCCCCTCCCCTGCCCTCCAACCCCCAAAAAGTGACCTTTAAACATGTAAAGCTTCGTAAAATCAATTACCGGGAAGATAAACAGAGACACCAGTGAATCTGAAAATTTGGGTCTACTTCAGCTGTAGTATAACTCCGAGAAGGACTGTTTTAACTTGAACAGTGTACCCAACAATAATCAAAAGGAGTGAAATTGAGGGAAAATTCCGAAAAAATGGAAGATTAAGAGAGAAATGGGGAGAATTTTTAGAGAGAGAAAGTTAGGGCTTTGTTTTGGGGGAAAATTGGCAAGACGGAGCGTCACTGTCCCGTCGATTTGCGGAGGAGGTGTAATTTCGATCGATCGTTGAATTGGTTGGTGACGTGGCGCAATTGACCGTGAGGTGGACTTATTTCAACGGCTCAGATTCGTCTATGTATTATTATGTTTTTTTTTCAGTAAATAAATTTTGTACAATGTTTATTTGGACAACAAGATCAAAACAAAATAAACCTGGAAAACGGGTCGGGTCGGGTTGGCTACTTGGCCTTCGGTTCTTTGGTTTGATTTTATCATACTTTAGTTTGATCTTTTGAATTTTAATTTTGATTCAGTTCAATTTTTTTCAACTTCATTTTGTTTTGATTCAATGTTTTCAAAATAATTTTTCGGTTTAAATGGAAAAATAAAATGAGGATCAAATCAAAGTATAAGACACTTAAAAATTAAAATCATGTTAAGTGATAATGTGTCTCACCATGAAACACTTGTGCTGAAAAGATCATATTTAGACCATTGTTTCTCATACTATTGCTCGAGAAAAACAAGGACAAAGATGTGTTCTTTTACATGACGTACATCGACAAAAATACATATGAATTCCTCTTGGAATTTAATATTTAGAGTTAACTATCTAAATTGTAAATATGTTGCTACTTTGATTTGTTTTTGGATGATCTAAATGCTGCGTGACTTTTGTTTTTGATTAAAGAAATGCCCTTATATATATAATTTAATAAAAAATAAATATTTAATAAAAATTCAATTTTTCGGTGCACCGAAGTACTGAGACCCTTACATTAAACACCAAATTGAAGAATCAAACTTTTGATTAAAAAAAACATCCAAATCTAATCAAAAAATCTAAATTAGTTCAATTCAATATGATTTTTCGATATTTATGTCTATCTTTACTTAGTAAAAAAAAAAAACAACACATGCCCTTATTAAGAAGGGATAGTGTAAAGCTTGTGGCTCTGTGGAAATATAAAGAGTAACAAATATAATTTCTATTAGTGTGCATTTGGCTATATGAAGATAAGAAAATAAAGATTTTTTTTTCTCTTAAATACAAACAAATGATTTTCTTTTTCTATTACATTGATTTAATTATAATATAAGGGACCAATTTACATGAAAGAAAAAAGAAGTGAATTGTTATGTAATTTTAAGAACCTCATGCCCCATGAAAGTAAACTTCCCACAAGGTTTGCTTTGGCTATTGCAATAGAAAAAAAGAAACACAAAATCATTTGTACTACTTAGATGTTTTTAGGTCCCAAAGATTTAGGAGTAGTTGTTGCCCGCCAACATCCTCTTGGCTAAACTCATTCTAATTCTCTCCTACAACAGGTACTGTTTTTTTCAGATTGGAAATTGAGCTCGTAAGTAAAAACATATACTTTCTTGAAAAGTTGTGATTTTTAACTTGACCCCATGTGCCTATAGTTCTTTCTTGAAGAATTCCCCTGTCCCTTGTGAAAAATTGTGATTTTGTCTGTTTATTCATGTGGGTATAGACTATAGAGTAATCGTCTTGTTCTAGTTTATGTAGGGTAGGTCTGTTAATTTGATTCTTTTGGCAACTGAGCATATGTTAATTCATTGTTTGCTTCAGTTTTGATAATGGTGGGAAGTGTATTTTTTCATTTTGTTTTTGTGAAAGAAAAGATGCAATTTTTAGTTGATGACCTTTTAGGCTTGTTTATTTATTTATTTAGCTTAGAATTTGGCTTTGTGTATACTTCTTTACAGATATCAGTATTGGAGGGTGAATCTTATACAAGCCAGCACTGAAAATGGTTTCTGAATTAATAAATGCCAACCCTGTTGTGTATGAAAAGAAGGAGCGGCGAGATAGAGGTTCCAGAGCTGTTCTGGATGAATATGCAGCTGAACCTATCGACCAGCTAGAAATTTTTGATATCCTTCTGAATGATTGCATTCTATGGTTCTTGTGCTAACTATGATTGAAATTGGATGTTGTTCTTAATTTGTTATGCCAGGCGTGAAATTAATCTTTATATGTTAAGGGAATATCTATGAGGCTAGAACTCATCCACTTCAGAATATGATCATTCAGATTCGAAGGGCAGTACATATTACCCATGCAACCAGCACGCTAAGTTTCTGTGTAGCATTAACATATTACACTGCAAAATACCTAGAGGAGGTGTTTAAATTTGCAAACTAGAGTTGATTCCTTATTCCCTTATACTAGTTGTTTGTGATATTTATTGTTGTGCCATGTAGTTCAGTGTGAAAGATGAAATGAAAAATCCTTTTGTACCTTGGTGCACGAAATATGTTTATAAGATTTCTCTTCTTTTTTTTTTTGATGAAGGCTTATAAACTTAAGCTTTCTCTTTTCTGGTATGATAAGATTGATTATTATTTTGTCACTCTATTATTTTGGCTAAATCCCAGAGAATGAAGTTGGATTGAAGTAGCCAGTACTGTAGGCATATTGAGTGTCTGGTTACTTTGCAGAAAGAGGGGACATATAGTGGGATAAGTGTACATGTCAGTCACGAAGCTCCATTTCTGTAGAAACATGATGATAGCTATCTTTATTTTGATTTTTCTGAAGCCTTTCACTAAAGAGGTTGACATATGATTTTCTTGTCCTTATTTTGCTTTTTCCTGGATTTGTGTGTGGGGTGGTGGGTGAGGGTGGGATGGGGTGAGGAGGGCATACATTATTTGCACCTTCGATATTTGTTTTACATTTTTGGAATCGAAGTACACATTGTTTTGCTATTCCTAGAAAATGGTAGAATATATTAGGAACAGATGTCATGAAAAGTGCTAGGGTCATGCTGCCTTCAGTTCTGATTTGAGGTGATACTGTACAATCAGTGACCAACTATTTTTGTATACTTCCTATTCAATTAAAACATGGATCAGTCCAACCAAATCCTTCCACATAATTCCAATATTCACTTTACCCTGCTTGATGAACCTTTACATAGTTTCATACTTTTCCCTTGCTTCAGAAATGCCAGTGTTATTCAGCGATTAATGAGTATAATACCTTTGATTTTGTATTTTATAGGATTCCTTCTAACTATTTTCCAGCCTGTTTGTTCATTGTATCATTTCGAAGAGAACTAAGCAAGTATTAAGTTTGATTTGTCAGGGAAACTTCATAGTAATGAAAATTTAATCATTCCTTAACATTCTTACACCATATTAGAGATATAAAAGATCCAGAGCATCCCTATTCTCTGGAAGAGCTGAAAGTTATAACAGAAGATGCGGTTGACGTAGATGACCAGCGAAGCTATGTAAGGTGAGAAAATGAATCCACTTCATATGTTTCTATTTTGATTCCTAATAGGTGGCATTTTTGCGTTGTCTAAGAAGAGGAAGTTCTTGATTCAGGGTCACATTCACGCCTACTGTGGAACATTGCAGCATGGCGACTGTTATTGGATTATGCTTGCGTGTGAAGCTTATGCGAAGTTTGCCTTCCCGTTATAAGGTGCTTTATCACCCTTCTGTTCTGATTCAACACACTCGTAATGTTACACATCTTATCCTGTAAAACTGAAATTACAATTGATAGAGGGTGCCCGCTGAGAAGTCCTCGTGTTGCATCCCTCCTTTCAGCTTTTAAAAAAAGATATTACAATTGATAGAATGTTATGCTAAAAATTGATGTGATATTATGACATTATTATAGAAGTCAATAATACCCAAAAGCCATGGAAAAGAGGCTATACCTGTAGAGCTGGGCGAAGCATTGATGTCACAGGCTGCTATGTTTGTGTGTTTTCTTAGAACTATCAAAGACTTCAACGTAAAAGTTTTTTCCTCGGCACCAGTTGAGTGAATCTTCAGGCAAATATCATACACTCGGGATTTCATTTTCAAAATCTTGAGCGATTTGCAAATGTGGTTACCTTTTTGTTGAACCTGTTATTACTGGGCATGGGTAGATTCTATTCAACATGACAAGTGTCATCAGTAGCTTATATCTGGCTTTTATTTGGTTCTACCAAGCCACCACTAAAAAAATTAATTCAACCAAGCTGTTACTTCAATTCCGGTTCGTTGAGTATATAAATGGATAGGCTTTCTTTCACAGCCTAAATGATACAGAGTAAAGGACAACACACACACACACACACACACACCTCCTTCTGGTTCTTGGCTTCTTACTACTCTTAACTTAAACATCCCTCAGCTGTGTGGCATTTTGTAGCTTCACTGTAGCTGCCTGGTAAGATCATAATCAAATCATTATATCAGAAATAGTTGAGAAATTTTGAGCCGCGTTGTGCTGGTTTTCAAAATCACAGCTGATTTTGTATTCTGGATTCTTCTATCCCCAGTCCCTTCCAAGTTCTTATGAGTAGTTGATGACAACTGCACTTAGTTCTGGTTTATCTCCATTATTGAGCCATATATGTTTCTTTCTAGATGCTCTAATGATATTCGATCTTGTCACCTGTGGCTGCGGGTTTGTTTCAATTGAGAGGGACGTGGAAAGAATAAAAGCCATAGGGAAAAATGTTGATAACAGTAACTAAATCAGTGAATTTGTGTCATGTCAAGTTATGTTAATTTGTTAATTTGTTTATCACGATCTTCTAAAAAAAAAAGTACTAGTGAAGGAAGACTTACTCCTTTGCATATTGTAGCGAACAGTGTCGTTTTTTCCTTACTTCTTTCAAGCAGATCATAATCACTTAGAAGTGTGTGTTAAAGTGATTTCATTTACACCTCTCACAGAAAATGTGGTTTTCAAAGTATTTAACCACTTTCTAGCATTGAGAAAAACAGTCCAACTGTTTGTAACAAGTTTACTATAATTATTGTCTGAAACTTTAATTTCAAACCACTAAGTGGTCACAGTTTTTGACAAATTTTGATTCACCTTGCTACTCTTCTAAACGGTGGTGTTTGGGCCAGCTTGCAAGCACATCAACTAATCTTTTCTTCTTGTGTCTTAATGTTTGTATACCCCTAAATGTTTTTAGTCATTCTATTTGGTTGTAACTTCTCCCAGCACTCTATTTATCTTGATATATTAATGAAAGTTACACTTTACCAATCAAAAGAGAAAAAAAGCTTTAGCCATTCTAAGGGAATTTTCAGATTTCTAGTTAGTGAAAAGAACAGACTTTTGAAGACTACTAGTTATTCTTTTTTATTTTTTAACAGTTCTCCTGATATGAAAATTTGCGTTGTGCTTCCTATAATTTGGGGTTAACATGGCAGCCTAACCTTCAACCCGTTAGCCAATTGAAAACTAGGTATCTAGTATTCAAATATTGAACTCTGAAGTTCTAAATTTGATACTGGAGTTGCTATCTTCCTGCCTCCCATTTATTAAACGAGTGTTTTGAGTTTGATCAGTATATTACGAAAATTCTTCTCCATTGCATACATTAAAACTATGGTTTAAATATTTAGATTCTTCAAACCAATGCCAGTTCTGAATGACGCATTTTACCAAAAGATTATGAAATATAAAGACAGTACGACCTGAGTTTGACCCCCTCTTTCAGACTAGCATATAAGCTAAAATCTTCTAATAAAACGTGTAGTTTCTACGTAGTCATCATAGGCTAGGTGTTCATCTTAAGGCTAAGTAATCAGTTAAATGTTTGTTTTCTTCTTATAATTCTTTAGTCTGGTTAGAGACTTGTATGTAAATGTAGAGGTAAACGTGATAAATGTGTGTTTAGAGAACATTTAGTTTTAGAAAACTTCCAATTTTTCCTTACAAGACAAATTATTTAGTATTGGAATAAATGGATCTGCTGTAGATAAATGTGTGACTTAGAGCATCTTTAGTTTTAGAGAAACTCTCAGTTTTTCTTGCAATACAGATTATTTAGTTTCAGAATAAATGCAGCTGATAGAGTTGAATAAATATAGGTGATTCATATAGATGATCTCAGCTAGTATGAGATTGTAGCTTAATTGATTGAGTTGGTTGAGCAAGACTGATTTGTAGTGGAGCTTTCAACGATTGGATTTGTTAGGAAGGGAAGCGTAGACTATAGTAGGCTGCTTATATGTTCTATGTTGGAGTTTTATACCCTTTGTACCATCTTGATACCCTTACAATTTTCACCTTATCAAAAGAAAAAAATCTCAATAATCGTGGATGGAGAAAAAATTCCTACCCCTTTCACTCTGTACTTAAGGATAAGTTACAGATTGGATTCTCATTCTCGTTTTTGCTCTACAGTAAAGTCGTCATGATATTTGCAAAGTTCTTCTGTATAGCATCTTCCTATTCCTGAGCAAAGTAGGATCTTTTTGTCATCATAACTGCTAAGTTTTTCCTGTCCATAGCAGCTTCTCCTTTTCTTACCCAAGGTAGGATGAACTTACTCTCATTTATACTAGTCTTAAATTTGGTGCTGTTTTAATTTCGGCTTGTTTGTCCTGCTAAATCTTTGAAGGTTTAGTGGTTTATTCTGTTGGCCGAGGAACAGCTAAATGAGCTCAGCAATCCAGAAAGCATAGAATTTGTTTATCTTCCTTGAGAAGTAAAAAGTTGGGCTTGGTATGGGTTGTGATATAGCTTGGAAGGTACAAAAGGAATCAGGTAGCTTCTTTTGGCTGCCAGAGATGAAATCAATGGACTTCTGAAATTTTCTTGTGCTTAACTACTTGTGGGTTGTTCCTGCATGATATGCGTAAACACGTATCAGGCCTTTAACCCAGTCTCTTTGCAGTTTCAACTAATTGCATTCTTAAGTACAAGAATGAAATAATGATGCAAAGACTTCTGTTGAAAGTCATATATCTTGTTGAACAATTATGCAAATATTTCAATATTGAAGTGTTTTGTTGGTAGCTAGCTATTTCCTTAAATTGTTTTCCCTGTCCACAAGTATTCGGTCTGCTTGTTTTAAACAACATATCCTTGTTGTCTTGCCAGGTCGATATTAGAGTAGCACCTGGGAGTCATGCTACAGAAGCTGCAGGTAATCTACCCATCTCTCTGTAACTGTCATACAACATCCAATTCTTTAGCTGTCACTCTGCTGGACTTCCTCCTAATTGAACCCACACAGGTCTGTATTTCTCACTTCCCTTTTTTGCTTTCACAAAAGGGCGCGTTCCTTTTAACATAGCACACGGTTTTTGCTATTTTTTCCATACAAAATGTTCACCCTTTTTGTTAATGTAAGTTACTACTATAACATATCCCAGTCGAAAAGAGATGGAAGGAAAGAAAACCATACAACCTTTTTGTTTATTAGTATCATAAAGCATTAGCTCTTTTCAAGAGTTGTCCGCGCTTGCTCTTTATCCAGCAATTGATAATTTGTCATCTGCTTGCAGTAAATAAGCAGTTGAATGATAAAGAACGCGTAGCTGCGGCATTGGAGAACCCTAACCTCGTTGACATGGTTGACGAATGCCTCGCTCCATCGTATGCATGATGAAGCTTTTGTTTAGGTGTATGGAGATCCAACCTGATTAAAGGCTTTTCCTTGAGCATGTTATATTGCCTGTTGTGACTTGTGAATGTTTTTTAGACCTCTTTTCGTTTGGGTTTTTCTAATTCAATTATTAATATTAGCTTCATAGATGCATTTGAACCAGCTTCATTCTCACGCTTCTCCGTCAACTTTTACTTGTCCACCGCCCATTAGTACTATCTAGTTTGGAGAATCAAGAGATAGTTTGTCATTTTGTTCCTTATTTACCTTTTATTGATACAACCATTTTTCAAAAACTCTTAATTTATTATATTCAAAAGGTGATATAATAAGATTGTCACTATATTTATTGTTCCTAAAAGGTATGTCAAGTTAATACTCCCTCCATTTCAAATTAATTGAATTGTTGGGGTGTTTCACCCCCTTTAAGAAAAGAAGATTAAGACATAAATTAGACTTAACTTTTCATTTTTACCCTTATTAATTATTATCAAATTTATGATCAAAATAACTAAACATTAATTAATACTAACTAATTTCAGTACTAACTAATAAAGTGTAAAATTAGAAAAACATTCTAAAAGTGGCCTTGAAAATTGAACAATTAAGTTAATTTGAATAATAAAAAATATCTCAACAATTTAATTAATTTTAACTGGAGGGAGTACTAAACAAGTAAAAGAAACATTCTAAAAGTGGCCTTGAAAATTGAACAATTAAATTAATTTGAATAATAAAAAATATTTCAACAATTTAATTAATTTTAACTCGAGGGAGTACTAAACAAGTAAAAATGAATGGAGGGAACATTAATTAAGAGATTCTTTTTGACTATTTTATCCTCGTTTGAGTCTTGATATATAATTTTTTTCTCATTAAATATTTATTCTATTGAGGATTTGAGGTGTTTAAAAAATATTTTGACTTTTTAAAATAACAAACATAATTAGAGATAATTAATTTTAAACAAAACAATTGATTTTACAATGGAGCAAAAAAAGTGAGTTTGTAAGGAGGGGTAAAAAAATAAAATAAAATGGAAAGTCGTAATTAAGGCCTTTTTTGCACTTTAATGGAGTCTTAATCATTCAGGTTTCCGTCATTAAGAGTATATTTGACATTACTGCTAAAAATTGCTTATTTTTAGAAGTATTTTTAAAAATAGTTTTTCAGAAAAATGCTTTTCAAAAAAACATTTGTATTTGGTCAAAACAATTGATTTTACAATGGAGCAAAAAAAGTGAGAGTTTCTAAGGAGGGGTAAAAAAATAAAATAAAATGGAAAGTCGTAATTAAGGCCTTTTTTGCACTTAATGGAGTCTTAATCATTCAGGTTTCCGTCATTAAGAGCATATTTGACATTACTGCTAAAAATTGCTTATTTTTAGAAGTGTTTTTTAAAAATAGTTTTTCAGAAAAATGCTTTTCAAAAAAACATTTGTATTTGGCAAATTTATTTGAAAAGTGTTTTTGATAAGCAATTTGTGTTTGGCACGTATCAATGTGCTTTTAATATTAAAATTATTTTATAGAGAGAAACTATAATAAACATCTAATACAAAAACTTTAATTACATTTTTAATTTAATTATCTAAAATGTACATATTCAAATTTTCAATCCATATTATACATAGATAAATATTGTTAAAAAATAATGAAAAAAAGAACTTTTTTGTTATGTGTTACCTATTTTTTTGGATTCAATCTTAGCGATTATCCTTTTTTTTGTTATAACACTCTAAAGTCTAATACAAAAACTTTAATTACATTTTTAATTTAATTGTCTAAAATGTACATATTCAAATTTTCAATCCATATTGTACATAGATAAATATTGTTAAAAAATAATGAAAAAAAGAATTGTTTTGTTATGTGTTACCTATTTTTTTAGATTCAATCTTAGCGATTATCCTTTTTTTTTGTTATAATACTCTAAAATTTTAAAAAATTCAAACTAAAACAAAATAATACTTAAATTAAGAAAAGAAAATTTTGTTATTTATTACTCGTTTTTTTCGGGGGGGGGGGGGGGGGGATCTAAATCTTTAATCGTTATTTTTTCTCTTTTTTAAAATATTGTTGTTACTTTTATTTCTACTTCTGTAAATAATACATAAAGTATTATATACAATATAATATATAAATAATAATTAAAACATAAATAAAATAAAAAAATTATATGAAAATGAAAAATAAAATTCTTGAATAAAAATCAATCAAACTTATGTGATATGTTAATTAATTAATAAGAGATATATTGATAAATATGTATATATATAAGAGATATTTTAGTCTTAAAAAAATTAATTTTCTATTTCTGTTTGTATTTTTAAAAAAACATAAATTTTTATCTTCTTCCCAACAACAGAAAAATTGTTTCTGCTTCCATTTAAAAGCATCCACTTAAAAGTAGTTTAAGAATTTTTCATACACTTAATTTCTCAAAATAAGTGCTTTTTTTCTAAAAAAGAGAAACACTTCTAGGCTTCCCAACAATAATGTCAAACAGGTTCTAAGTCTATTTGGTGTTTGTTTTTTCTTATTTTACAAGCATCTAAAGAATATGAATGATCAACATCTATAACAAAGTCTTAATATCATTAAGATATCTAATTAAAAGTTTTTATAAAGATGACAATTCACGCTACTTCATCTACTTCACCTACCACCCACAATCATCACTATCGTCAGTTATCAAAATCAATCAATAGCATCATTAGCAATTATTTACAATCATCATCACAAATAATTAATGTTATATCCACTAATTACTATCTATAATTACCACCATTAATCAATATAGCTAACCTCCATCATCATTTGTTAGGATCATTAATTATTACTATCATTGCACTATTAATTATCAGTCACCACTAACAACCATAATTAATCACTATTGTCAATCATTATGTCATAAGATACCCTCCACAACCATCATCAGTGAACACTCGACACCATCCCAAATTGACACAGATTATCACCATCTTTAGTCGTCACCACTCACAATTTTCATATAAATTTTTTTAAAATTCTATTAATATAATATCATATCAATTTAGGATTTTATTTAAATTATATATTTTTATTTTTAAAAACAGAAATTTTGTACATTTAAATGTTAAGGAAAAAAAAACAATCTTTATTAATTGATATTCTGATCTTAATGCAATTTCTTAAGATCTATGAGAGAGTTGGTGACAATTTTGTTGGAGTCAGCCTCTTGGTTTTGCTATGGAAGTGCCAAATTTTGCGGAGCAGGTTGACTTAGGCAATAAAAATCTCTATATACATTAATATAGCTTATTTTATCATTATAAATAATTTAATTTTAACTGGCCTCCAATTGTTTTTTTTATATGTTTTTGGAGACATTATTAGGAGAATCAAATTCATCTAATTAGATTAATTTTTTCCCTAAAAGAAAAAATACAAAATAAAAGTAAAAAAAAAAAAAGAATAAATAAGATATAAGATATTTCTATAAAAAGGAGTTGATTGTATTAAAATGATCAAAATGATTCTTCATCTATAGGGGTTGCTTTATTTTGGTCCTTAATATATTCTAGGTGATTGAAATGGTCCTTCATGTATGACAAAATGTGATCAATTTGATCCTTTACCCTAAACTTAACAAATTTGTCCCAAAAAAATGTTAAATATAACGGTGGGCTCACATAACTTACAAATCCACTATTTTTCTCTTCTTAATTTATTACTTCAAAATTCTTCTTAATTTATTACTTCAAAATCTAACACTATTTTATCAAGAACAAATGTAATACCAGCCATATTAGCATTTACAATCAAAAGACAGAACCAAGCACAACATAGCATAACTTCGCACAAAGAAGAACCCAAACTCACACACTGAATCTTGTCTCATTCATCAATCGCAGAGCCACATTAGGAATGAATATACAAGTTACATAGCCACTTCAATCAGAAATATCAAAAAATAAATCTAGTAGAACCCACTTATCAACAACCAAACAAGGACGATACAAAAAATTCACAGCAATAGTCCCAATAACATGAAATTCAAGAACCACAATTCACAAAGTAAAACTTGTTCTAGATTACCCACCAAAATCCCCACCATCCCACACGTTGACCTTTCTGGAGAATTAATCACTCCAAACAAAAAAAATAAAAATAAACAATAACCAAAAGAGGATTATTATGACCAAAGGAAAGAAACATCAATAGATTAACAAAAGCAATCATGTATATAGAAAGTACCAAGAACAACGTAAATGTAAATATTATACCATTCAACTCATAGATTAAACTATTAACTTAATTTTCTATCTTGGTTACGTTCTACCGATAAATCAAATTCTTAACAATCCATTTCATTCAACCTTTTTACAATAATTATTTTGTGAATTGTGTGGTTAGATGTTAGAGAAAATGGTGTTAGATTTTAGAATTCATGAAACTCTTTCTTTGAGCTAATAAAGATGGTAAAAATGGTGGATTTGGTAAGTTATGTGGGTCCCACAGTTATATATAACAGTTTTTGGGGCTAAATTGTTAAGTTTAGGGTAAAAGACTAAATTGAACACATTTTGTTATACATGAAAGATTATTTCAATTACCTAGAATATATTAAGGACCAAAATAAAGTAACCTCAATACATCAAGGACAATTTTGATCATTTTCTCGTATTAATTTAATAGATTTTATAGTGACACAAAGTAGAGCAGATACCAATTATACTTTTTATCTGTATTTAAGTGATAACCACCTTGGTTGGCTAGGAAATTCACCTCTTCATTATATAAAGCCTCAAACTTTGCCTCATCCGGATTAGCACACTCGATACCCACGGCATTGACACCCCGACCACCTGCATGACATTTTTAGACAAAATGTAAGTTGTGTCATGATCTTGGCCATGTTCTGGTTTCTCTCTTGGTCTTTCTCCATCTGCTGCTCTTTGGTCAGTTTAAACGTGAGAGGGGAGACCTGGTCTTCACGGGTATACCACGTCCGGTTTATGATAGTCATCCTATCCAAGAGTTGTTGTTATCACATAAGGTTGCTGCATCAAACCTCCACGAGAAAGTTGGTCAACAACACCCTTATTTACCGAGTCAAGACTTCGATAAAAATACTGCAGCAACACGTTGTCAGGCAAGCCATGAGTTGAGCATTGAAGCACCAACTTCTTGAATCGCAGCCAAGTTTCATAAATTGGCTCGCCTTCTAGATGCTTGAAGCTCTGAATGCTATCCCGAAGAGTATATCTTTGAAGGAGGAAAAAATCGCACTTAAAATGCGGTGATTAACTCCTCCCACGAAGTTAATGATTTACGTGGCAATTCAGCTAACCATTTACATGCCTCTCCCATTAAAGAGAACGGGAACAACATCAATCGAACCGACTTTTGGGAAATGTTCTTGAAGGAGAACTGTTCGCAAACATCCACGAAGTTTCTAATATACTCATGGGTATCCTCATAAGCCAAACCTCCGAACAGCCCCTTCAATTGCAAAAGTTGCAACATAGTACTTGTGATGTGGAACATCGCATTCCCTTCGACCGGAGGCAAGCGAATGGCACCAATACCACTCATTAGATGGGGTAATTAACATTAGGCTCGTTGACATCGTTAAGGTTTTCAATCTCATCTTGATGGCCTACTTGACTGCCATTGTTGCCGTTCACACTCATACTTTCATAGATTTTATAGTGACACAAAGTAGAGCAGATAGCAATTATACTTTTCATCTGTATTTAAGTGAATTTGAGAATCGCTTTAAAGTAACTTTTTTATTATAGTTATTTAGTGTAGTGTTTTTACAAAATATAATTTTTTTAATTTACATAATAATATTATAGTTTATATAGATATTAGATAATTCAAGTTACCAATAAGATGTTATCCATTCATTTATAATGTATTGCCTTGGGATCTTGTTGTAAGGATTTTTTTTACGAATTTAAAGATTTGAATAATTTAATTTAAAATTTTAAAATATTTATTTTATTGAAAAGTAACCAATAATTCTCTCTCTCTATTTTTTTTTATATATAAAATATCTGAAGGTTTTTCATGTCATTTACTAACTTTAATATTGTTTAATTAAAAATTAAAAAAAATCATAAAATTCATAATTAGATTCATTATTTTAAATATTGTGCATTTGTGTTAGACTATGGGATAGATCTAATCACAAGAAAAACAGCAGTGACTAGATAATTGCAAGAAATAGAATTTGAGCAAACAACACAAATTTTATTAGTTTAGGTCTTAATTATGTTTGCTCACATTAGTTTAGAAAATTGCCTCCTGTACCACTTTTTCTTCTCCAAATACATGTATCTACCGCACCCAAATACATGTATTTCTGATACATGCAGGTCAAATTAAGTGTAATTTGTTCCAGCTACATTGCATTCAATAGTGATTTACATGTATCGGGGAAATACTGACTCTCTCGCTTGCTTTTCTCTTCTTTTGCTTACCACTCTCTCTCTCTTGCTTGCCTCTCTCCATATATATCTGTATTTCAGAATCTATCTGGTATAAAAAAAATATATGCATTCAGTATCCACTCCCATCTTGCTCACTCGTCTCTCTCCTATCTCGCTCATAATAATATACTAATTCTTTCTGACACTACCTTTATTGCCAATTACTCTTTCTTGTATAAGCAAAAGCCATAAAAAGAAACTAATAAACAAATATAACCTCGTAAGATCAAAAAATATAATTTTTTTTAAAAAGACCCTTGAAACAAACATAATGCTGCAAGAGTTGATTTAATTAATTTCAGAAAGGACTTAAGAAATTGTACAACAACGGAGGTTTTTCCTACCAATCACCTTTTTCTCCACAAACAGAACTCAAACTCAAAACTCAAATTAGGAGGAAGGGTGAAATTTGCTGTTAAACTATGCAAAAGGTTCAAATTTATCCTTCATTTAAAAATAAAGGCGAATCTATTCCTTTTCGCGTAATTCAGGCATTCAGGGCCAAATTTGACACCAACTAGTAACATCGAGAGCATATTTGACCCAGCCATTTACCAGAGGATAAATTTGTTTCATTTCACACAGTGAGAGACAAATTTATCTGTTCATATATAGCCTTTCAGTCTATATATTATCTGTTCATTTAGGCAAAAGTAGTCAAGTAAGAATTCAATGTTCATTCTACCTGGAATTAAAATAGTCCAGTAAGGTATCTGTACCATAACATGAAACCATTTTATCTCCAGTTTCACTCCATAAAGTATTTCATAGGGGCACGTAAATACGAACTTTCTCACTCGTTGTACACAAAATATAGTCCACCATGGTGGTTTACAGAGAAAATTTGACACCTTCATCATCAGCTGAAGTTCCCTTAAATATTGCAAGCTTCCCTTTATGTTCAAGCTGCTTCAAAGCTCGCATAAGAACTGTACGGTCTATTCCATGAAGCTCTGAAAAATCAAAACGCCAAAGAAAAAGAAGAAGATAATAGCATAAGTCCATGAAGTTTGTCAGAGGATAAAACCTAGTTAAACCATGTACGCGAGTTCATTACTAACCATAAAATACATACAGAATTGCCAGATGTTAAACGTAAAATGTTTGATATAATGATCCACTGATATTTCTATTACATGTTTATGATCGAGTAGTTCAAGATTGAAATGTAAAACCTAAATTTTACCTGTTCCACGGGACTCCACCCCAGAACGTATTTCTTCAACTGTCATAACACTGTCTTCCAGCCCGTTCTCCTTCACCTAATTAGACAGATAATACTTCCATAAGGAATTTGATAAGGCTCGGTAATGGCAGGCCCAGCAGATTGCCAACACAAAAACAATGTGACAAGGTTGAATATACTGCTGTTCATCATTTCATTCAAAAGAAAACCAGACACCATGTCTTTCTGCATCCATCCCCAAATATGGTATATAGCAGTCTTCCAACAGGGAACCTAATTGCTAGACATTAAAATTGCATCTTTTATAGGATAACACTCCGTGAGAAATTCGACTCAAATGACCAAACTGAGAGATTTCAGATAAATTTAAGAAGAACAAGAAAGCAGGAAAGTGGAAGCTACGCAGAAGGGAAAAGGGGTCGTTGAAGACTGATGATAAACACGATCTTGCAGCGCCACCCTTTATAAATGGATAACCCATAGAGAAGAAAAATGGTTCTATACAAAGACAGTTATATGAGGTGGTAGGCGCAGAGCGAGGGAGAGCATGAGGAACATAGATCGGGATTATAACTCATAAGGTGGCTACATGATTCTCTTCTCCTTTACTTAATCTCTACTTTTGCTGTATAACAACATCATATGACATTTGCGTATGGTAACCAAGAATGAATCTTATATCCACTCAACTAATCATGGTACAGTCCCCTCAAATGCAGAGCCATTCCTAAACGCTACCAGGCTCTATAATCCACTAGCATATTGAGTTAGGACTGCTAAATTGAGAACAAACATCAATTATCATAAGGTTGCACTACTACTCACAAAGTTTACAATCAAGTCTGCCCAGTCTTGAATACGATGCCATAGGACTAGGCATTTTCTATGACCTTTATCCATCCATTCTGCACGACCTGTCAAGTAGATCAGAGTCAGAGATCTAGCCTTCTGCAGTACAACAGACTCTCATTAAGTTCCTATATATTATTCATGTGGCAAGATCACTTACCATCGGAAACCAAAGCCGAGAGAAATGCCTCCCTAGCTTCATGACTCAGAGATCCTGCACTATCAAAGATCATCTGTATTCAGTTGTGGCACACAAATATTGCCACCATTCCAGATTACAAAAGATTCTCATCCAGTCCGAGGCAAGCTATACCACATAAAGAGATAATCACATTTTCTTTTAGCTAAAAATGCAAGGATTTTGCATTTCTTAAAAAAAATAAAAAATCAACCAGTACCGGCAAGCTTTACCACCTAATGCTATTGTGATTGAACTTTCTTTTGGTTAATATGGTCTATGAACAGACATGCATACTTAATGGCATAGAAAAACTGAAGAGATCTCTTCAGTAACCTTGTGCTCCAGAGGAATAAGTATTACAAATTCACGCCATTAAACTTTATAATCACATAAATTTAAACAGTTTGATCATTTATATGAATTTCTTACTTCCCTTGGAAACATTTGCAGAGGAAAAGAAATTCATTGGAGGCAATGTACATGTGGTTTAAAGTCAATCTTTTGTTGCTAGATAAGCTAACGTGAATTACTCCATGGCATGCTACTATAATATAATTCCATAATATTTTGATAAGTGGTAACATAGCAGAAATTTTCTCAATGGATCTGAAACTTTTAAAACATTTTACATTCAATTGTAATGATATTTACATTTTGCTCTTTTTCTGTTTTGCAGCTGTTTCTTATTAATTTTCCTCTAACCATCCCACTTCCTTGGAAATTAGATGAGTAACCTACTGATTCACATGTAATTAATCCATTTTCTTCCCTGGTTGTAGGATAATCTCTGTATCATTGGTTATTTCAACAACAAACTGAGAAAATCAGCATAAACATATTTTATGCTCCTTTTCATGCTGGGACTAGATCATCTCAGTTCAAATGTGCATGCATGCATGAGAATGTCTATTTTGTTTCTGCTTCCTTGCTTAATGTCCAGTACAGATTCGTGACAATCTTGTAAGAATCCAGAGGGTGATAGTTACTTCTTTCAAATTTAAATGAAACTCATTTTGCTTCGGGACATTCCAGAATGTGGACACCATTTCATTTCTATACAATTTTCAAGACCTTTAAAGAATTCAAATTCATAACATATGCATTTTATAGCTCTGTAATATTTTCCGATGAGAAATCATAACTTTTTAAACTATAACTTCAATATTTTCTTCCATTATCACTACTATAATGTATATTTTTAGAACAGATCATCACTATTATAATATAAGTCAAATTAGCATCTTAAATTTCACATGAGTTGGAATGGAGGCAGTGCTCTTTTAAGTTCCTCAGGCATTCAAGATCATTAGCTGTTGGTATAAATTTCAACCCACTTTACTGGATTTTTACCCAAAGCAATAATTTGGGGAATATATATAAAGCAGCTCCTTGGCAGAACGTCGAATATATAAAACACTAATAAGAAGAAGCACTCACTTTCAATAGCAGCATTACTGAACAATGGAAAGTCTACCTCCAGCGCAATCACAAAGATCTTTTGGGTTCGACAGAAATCAATTATGAGCTCTTTCCATAGTTGTATCTGCTTCTCTCTAGTTTCCCTCACAGGCTGCAAACTGGGAAAGAAAATAAATTATCATAAAACTAAAAACAAGCTTCCTGTTACACATTAAAAGGAAAACGTGTTTCATCCGCCCAATAAAAGACTGGATGGTAGATGAATGGAACAGGTACAAGAAGTCCTTAGTGATTACTTGAAAACAGACATTAGCTTATCAGAAATCCATAGGGATAACTGCTTCTAGGTTCTTTCCAGTTATAAGATACAACAATAAGAAAGCAATCCAAACTAAATTTCTGCAGGTAGATCTAACTGATTTTGTCATCCGAATAATGAGACTGCCTCCATTCCCTGATTAGAACCTTTCTCTAGGAATCATTCTATTTACTTTCTCCTCATTAGCAAATACATCCATCCATCATGTACCCATAACAAATTTAGTCCTAAAGCAGAATGGATAGACTCATATAGCCAACCTCCACTGATGTGGGAAATTGGGGTTGAGGCCTAGTTGATTGACATCTACTGCTGTCAAAATGCAGGTTCAACACACCGTCCAAGAAAAGGTTTTCCATATATTTTGACCAGACAAGTTCAAATACTAAATCCAGAAACTGAAATTTATAGCCAAGTGTTAATACATATAGAGACATGGAAATAAGGGCAGGAGCAAATTACGTGAAGTAGGGTGGATAATTAAAGAAGTTAGGCAGCTTGAATTCGCCTAGCTTCTGCATCTTTCCTGAATTACTTCCTTCTCTGCTTTACACCTCATTCAAAAATACTATTACTTGTAACAAATAAATATATAAAAGAAACAAGGAAAGAGAAAAATATCACTAAAATAAAACCCAATATTAGTGGTGGTAAAGGCTGGTTGGTTGGATTTGGACAAGTAAAAAATGAGTTAAATAGAAAAGGGGTCATAACCCAACCTGTTCATATCTACACGGGTTGGTTTGTGAATAATTCTGGTCCAACCAATATCTTGAAGAATAAATTTATCCAACAAAACAAGTCTGAATTCAAAAAAACATATTTCTTTACTGTGGTCTATTGAATTTCCCACAAAAAAGATATGCATTTGCTTGACATTGTCAAAATGGCATCAGAAATAACGACATAGAAGGTTCGTTTTCCTGCATGCTTAATTGAATTCAATAGGAAGTTCAGGTGATATATCCTGATTTCAAGTCATCAAATGTGCCTTTGGGTGATGACTTCAAGCCAAAAAGAGAGAGAACATAAATAGCCTGGAGCTTTTGCATGTCATCAAATTATGCATTTGAAGTGTAGCCCACTATTCTCACTTATCAGAAGAAAAGAAAAAAAAAAAACTGTAAAGCATTGCTATCACTAAGCAAACAACAGTCTTTCAGAAACTCCCACTCCAGAGCTCCTAGAGTCGGAATAGCATCTGACATTATCTTGAGATATGAAAATGCTGGCGTGGTAAATCCAAATCAGGAAGAATTGAGAAGAATGAATCACGTAAAACTTGGGCATACCAAATTCAATCTCCCAAATATTCTGAAGGTGAAGAAGAAAAAATCCAGAATTCGAAGTGAATAAAGCATAAACTCAGTAAATTCGAAGGAGGAAATAAACCCAATCACCATTTGTATCAAGTTGCTGAATTGGACCACAGAGAAGCATATATGACAAGTGTTCAGTATAATGCTTTCCGCAAAAAGGAAAAATGAGTTCCTACATTTGATCCAATTCCTAATCAATCCAACACCTAGTCATTGTTATCAACCTGAATTGGACCACAGAAAGCATATATGACATGTGTTGAGTACAATGCTTTCCGCCAAAACGGGAAAATGAGTTCCTACATTTATTCCAACTCCTAATCAATCTAACAACCTAGTCATTGTTATCAACCTTTAATATCCAAAAGTATCACCAATACACAATCTTTGTAGTACCTTACTGGCTTATCATACACCTCGTTTACTAACTATATGTCACCTAAAATACAGGCAAATGATAACAGTTTCCTCTTCCTCCATACACATCAAGAAACAGAAAAAAACAAAACTTTACATAAAATTAGTATCTGGGTGTCTTTAATAATGGAAAAAGAAAACAAAGACAAAGAGTACATACTTCAGCAAGCCAGAAACTCAGAAACCCAAACTTAACTACTTCAACAATCCAAAGGTTCTCTCTTTAGAGATGCCCAACAGAAGAAGAACCATATTTAAACTACAACACAATAGGAATTTATAATCACACAAAATAAAATTTTTAATCAAGAAAGAGAATCTAATAGAGATATTAGATTAGCACACCACAGTCGATGCTCCAAAGTTGCAATTTCACCCACAAAAAAAGGGTTATCTTTCGTCTTTCTTAAACAAAACTAATCTGAAGCACCTCAATTTCACTTGGACACAACAATCTGTAAATTAGGTTATGATGAAACTTTGGAAAAAGGAATGGGGGAAGAGAATGATCTGGTTTGTTTAAAGAGAAGCTCTGAAGAAAAAGTCACGTGCAGAAAGTTTTGTTCTGTTGAAAAACTCACGGTAGTTAAGGATCGAGACAGAAAATGTACCAAACTTGGATTATTAATGCTCCAATAGAAAGAAATAGGACTATTTTGAGTCTAAACTCAAAGTTAGTGGACCACTTTAAGCCTTTTATCAAATGGTGTGTGTGAAAAAAAATAAGAAAAAAGAGAAAGAAAATGAAAATGGAGTGCTACTTCTTCACTTGTCGTCTTCAATTCGATTCAAGACTGCCAATCACAGTAGAAGCACCCCACCCCCCACCACGAACCCAACAAAAGTTAGTATCTTTTTCTCTATCTTTATATGTTGAGTCTAGAATATGAATGATTACTTGTCAATCTTGAAAAATTCCAACTTTCTTGAAATTGTTTAGTGGACTTAGAGCTCGACTTTATTTGAAAATTTGAAGTGTAAAAGATTTGCCTTTTTTTCGTTTTCCCACTATTTGTCTATTTCCTGGTTTGTGGTCTGGCTCCTTTCTTGGTGTGGTGGATGATTTTGAGTTTAGCTTGTTGTTATATGTTTTTGAGGATTTTAGAGGAACCCAATGTTGAATCATATAGCATAGATGCTTTATCTTCAGTTTAACAAGCTATTGTAGTGAAATCAGTGATCTCCCTTTTCTTTGATTATACATCATAGTAGTTGGGATTTAGGTTTTGGCTGCTGTTACATCTGGTTCAGTGTTTGTTACTCATTACTTCTTAATTTATGTGACACTGTTTGACTAGGAACGGAGTTTAAGAAAGAATGGATGACTTTTGGAACTTGTGATCTAGAACAAGCCTTAGAGGCTATAAATCAAGTGTCATTAAGGGTAAAATTAAAAGAATTATACTTAAATTGTTTCTAATTATAGAAAGTAACATTCTTTTTCGGATAGTGGAAGTAGTAGTCTTTGTAGTTTGGTTAGAAATAGGTCGAAATAGAGAGGATTGATGATTTAGCTGATCCGAGGCTCGTTGGGGATTAAGGCATATTTTTTTTTATTTTTTTTTTGTGCTTAATAAGGCATATTTGTTGTTGTTGTTGTTGCATTAAATTGGAGGGCTTTTTGTTCTTTTATTACGCTTCATTTTGTCTCTTTATGTACGTTATCTGGTACTTCGCCCCTGCAGCTTATCTGTCTTGGATTGAAGTTTTCAAGCTTTACAAAGTGAGAATTGTTAAATAATGGCAGTGTAAGTTTGGGATGTTTATCATTTGCATTTTCCATTTTATGTTACTTTAATAATCCAGTTACATTTGTATTAATATGTCTGATTTTCGGCTTATTGATGGCTAAACAGACTGGCCTCTGCTCCTGGAAAGGTTTTGATGACTGGAGGTTATCTTGTTCTGGAGAGGCCAAATGCTGGTATTGTACTGAGCACAAATGCTCGTTTTTATGCTATTGTGAAGCCACTTTATGACGAAATTAGACCTGAAAGTTGGGCATGGGTGAGTGATATTTGCTGCACTTAACTAAATGATCAATTAACTGGAGTATGTATGACCATTTCTCATCTTGAGAAGCACCTTTTATGTATTTCCCTACGCTTTATTCCTACTGTAAGGTAGTTTTCTTATTCCTTTTCAGGGTTGGACAGATGTTAAATTGACTTCTCCCCAGATGTCAAGAGAAACCATGTATAAACTGTCTCTTAAACACCTAAAGCTTCAGCCTGTTTCTTCAAGGCAAGTAGTTCAAGTCTCATTAGTGAAAATAATATTTTTTCTTTTTATGCTTGTGAATTTGCAAAGTAGTTTCTTGTTTCTACTTTCTTTTTGGTGTCCTATGGGCTATGAGCTCCCTATGTGCATTGATGATTGAGTTTCTTTTGTAGATAACCGAATTTGGTGTAGGTTTTCTACTTTTTGGTTTACGGCTTCTATACAGGAGTTTACTCCATCACTAATAAAATTATTTACTTTATCAAAAAATGTTTGTGAATTTGCTAAAATTTATTTTTTTAAGTATTAAATGTACCTGGCTACTGTATTCTTGATGAATTTGGTCTGTTTTGTTATAACATGAATTGTAAAGTCATCTAAATAATGAGCAATGTAGTAACTTATATTTTTACTCGAACATCAGTGGATCAAGAAACCCCTTTGTAGAACATGCAGTGCAGTATGCTGTTGCAGCAGCCCATGCAACACTTGACAAAGATAAGAAGGACACATTGCAGAGACTACTTCTGCAGGGTAATGTCTGACACTCTCACCTTTCTTATCTGAGGATGATGACATTTCTTGATACGGGACTCACCTCATAGTTTTTGTTAAAGAAATTAGAAAAATAATTTCTCAAACTGCATTATCCATGCAGGTCTTGACATAACTATCTTGGGTTGCAATGAGTTCTATTCGTATCGGAATCAGGTGCTTTTGCAGCTTATTTTATATCTCTGATATGGCATGTAGCTCAGTGATAGATAATTACCTGTGAGTCCAGCTTGTTGGCATGAAGTGAAATTTGATATTCAGTAATCACACAGTTGTTGACTTAATATTTTCTAATTTGTGGCAGCTGTTTCAAGATTTTCAGTGGGCAGGAAAAAAATTCATGAGACTATATAGTGCCCTGGCAATTTTAAAATTAAGGTTTTGCTCAATTTGTTGAATGATTTAATGGAAAAATAGTACTGAGTACTACCTCAATCTAGAAGTGACCTAAGTTGACATAATAATCAATTTGACCAATTGCTGGACTAATATTTGACTAAACCTTTTCTAAGTTCAGAAGATAACACTGGACAAAATATACAATTCTTATTAGAAATACTTTGAAACAATAAAAAATTGATTATGCTATTCCAAGTTGATTTATATAGTTGATGTTTAAATTCGCAAGTTTAAGACAAAAAGTAGAACTAGAGTAGACTACTTCAACAGAAGTCACAACTGCAGAAGTTGTTAAACGGAGTGACTAGTCATTCACCCAGGGAAAAAAAATTCTGCTTATTAGATTTATTAATGAAGTTACAGTATTTTGTATAGAATATAAAAACATTTCTACAAGGATTTGTATAGTATATCAAAACAAAATTGACGCAAGCTTCAGTTATCCTGATCATCTTATTGCTAAGACTTATATATCTTGATCACATTGCGCTGGACTATAGCGACAGAAATTGCAATGACATTGATACGGGGATTTTGTGTGGCTGGAACTGGTCAACTCGGATTACTCCTTTGTAATAATCATTGACTGAAATATTTAACTTTCTATCAGATTACATTGTGTAACAAATGCATAGGCTAAGATGCTGTCCAAGATGTTATGCTACAAACTAGTTTGCATGTATTCTCTAGTTTGATAGTAATTGAGACCTCTCTGTTAATTATTTATGTAGATTGAAGCACGTGGGCTCCCTCTTACACCTAAGTCATTGGCTTCCCTTCCACCTTTTGCTTCGATCACCTTTAATGCAGAAGAATCAACTGGAGAAAATCGCAAGCCTGAAGTTGCAAAGACTGGATTAGGGTCGTCAGCAGCTATGACAACTGCAGTTGTTGCCGCCTTGCTTCATTATCTTGGCGTTGTGAACCTCTCCTCTTTGGATGAGGACCAACTCCAAGGAAAGAAAGATGTAGCTGATCTTGATGTAGTTCATGTGATAGCTCAAACTGCTCATTGCATTGCACAGGGTAAAGTTGGCAGTGGGTTTGATGTTAGTTCTGCAGTTTATGGAAGTCAACGCTATATCCGGTTTTCGCCTGAAGTGCTCTCTTCTGTGCAGGTCTTCTTCATATTCCATCTTTTTGATTAATTTGTTGGCATAGTTTTGATCATAGATAAAGTAGTCTGTTAAGTTTTCTCAGAGGCTCGGTTACGGGAAAATCGCCTGAACGGCTTCAGCATATATATTTTATAATTTAATATGCCAAAGACTTACTTTCTGAAGCTCATTAATAATCCATGTTTAAATAACTTTTTTCCTAAGATAATAAAGTTAATGTGCTCTTTGTAAATTGAGATAACTTCATACGAAGATGTTGAATACGTTGCATCATTCAAACCCCTGTGAATTGCATAGCTTTTGACTAAGTGTAATGTACTCTTTCCGAATTAAGATAAATTCATATGAAGATGATGAATATATGACATCATTCAATCCCCTGGATCTTTGGTTAAGTGGTAAGAGCCTGTGTGTGATGTGTGAATTATGTAGATGAGGTGCAAGTCATGAGTTTGAACCTTGTGACGTACCAAAAGCTTAGTATTAAGAAGGGTAGAGGGGCGGGTCTTTATCCACCAAGTTTCGGACCATGTGCCAACTGGCCCTCATGAATTTCTCGCTTACTAAAAAACAGAAAAAAAAAACGTATCGTCACTCAAATATTGTTGCCATCACTACATGCTTCAGTGGTGCTAAAATCTAGCTTGGTCACCCAAGGCCCAGTTTATACCAGGATTAATTATCTGTTGGCATTTTTCCAAAGAATGAAGAGGGGAAATAGTAATCGGAGGAGTGGTAACCATAAAATTACCTAAAGAGTTAATCATTTTTCCTCTAGTCTAAACCTCATGTTGCTGTAATGAGAAGTGCATAACATGTCAATACCAAGTGAGCTGTTGGGTTTTGCTAATTGTCAGGCCAC